TCGGAAGAAACGGCTGCTTGTCATTTCAGCTAGAAGGACGTAATGAGGGAAAAGAAAAAAGAGATTTGTGAATTACGTACCGGGCAAATTGTCTCCGCCGCCGGTCACAAACTGTCGTACTAAAAAGAAACGGAAAAAATCATATCTCGTTAAAATTCAACTGGCAGCACTACACGCGATTCGCTCGCCCCTGATTCGTCGACGGTTTGGGGGATAAAACGTGTTCGCGATAAGACGAGGTGAAGAGATTAACAAAAGAGACGCAACAGAAGCAAAATAAGAGCAACAATAATCGCGTTCAAATTTAAGAAAAAAAGCAACATCCACAACTTGAACTAAAACATTTAATTATTGCGAAACTTTTTAATAAACCAAATAGTGCATAATTTATTTCCAATAATGTGTGAGATGCAAGAACTTCGATAAATTAATCTGAACAATTTACACATTTGATAAATCGATAAGAAATATCACAAATGTTTTTTTCTTCTACATATATATATATATATATGGATAATATAAAAAATATAAAACTAATATGTCGCAAAATTAAAAAGGTTTAATAAACAAATATAAGAAACTCTACGAAAAGTATTAATAAACAGATCTCTGTTATTCTACTTTGACTATATTATGTAACGCTTTGTTTATCGTTGCTAGATCGGTTTATGTTGCTTTCGCAACTAATGTTCGCTTTCATGCCTTTAATAAAGAAAACGCGATATCGCTTTAAATAAAATAAACATGGAGCGAATAAGGGGCGAGCGGACTGCGTGTAAATTACGCTATTTTTCATCTCCTTAATCATATAAAAAGCATGAGTGTCAAAGAGGGAAAAATTTGATGTATCGCGCATGTTCACTTTTTGCGGGAGGGAAACGAAAGCGATGTTCATTTAACATAAGTCTTGGAGATGATGGAGTAAGCCTGGTGGTCCGGATAACGAAGTAATAATGATAATGCGTGAGAACGATCGACGCAGGTAAAATGAGAACGTGTCGGAACGTGAGGATGGAAGAGGGTGAAAAGTGAGCATGATAAGGAAGCGCGAAATTAAGATCGAGGTGGTGGCCATGAGGCTTTGTTCGTGCAATCTGGACTGGCCAGAGAGGGGCGTTTGTCACAAATAAACTAAAAAAACGTAAATGAAATATCCAGCTCGGGAAGGATCAACTAAAAGCGAAAGACGACGGGGAGGGACACTTGATTCGGTATTCATCGGTAGATATACCTCCCATCGAGAACGAAGTTGCGTGTACATATATGCGAAGCTGTACTCGCGTGAAATTGTTGGTTTGTGCTCTTCGAATAAGGAAACGTGAGAAAAAGTGTGTGTACAGGCGAAAGAAAACATAATGAAGTAAAACTGATACGATTACGGTTTCATTCGCTTGTTCTTGGAATATTTTTATCGTATCGCTATAACACACATTTCATCGAATTATTTACTCGCACTTTCGTTGTCATTATCGTTTATGGCGCACCGACCCACCCTAAATAATTCTAACCCCATGGCCTACACACCTGTGATCTGGACACATCATAGTTTTATTTAAAATCATCGATGTATAATATATTTTTTTTTTTTTCAATTTTGTCGCTGTCTTAAATTATAGATACATCGATTTTACTCTTGTGCGAGAATTTGTGCCTCAGCGCGAATAGAAACAAGTGAGAGAAGTCGAATTTAAGTCAATTCGATGGAAAAAATCTGGTACAAGAGAATTCAGACAAATCACAGAAATATTTTAAATGATAATTATGTACGACGATCTGTCGAATTTTTGTTATATAATTTATTTCGCGTCGTCGAAAAAATTGACAAGCGATCAATCGATTCGTAAAAGAAATTCACTATGAAAAGCTCTCGCGAAAAAAATCGGCAGACCGATTTGCATGGGACTTACCGGTGATGTTGTCGCACAGTATTCGCGACGTGATAATTCTGCCGTAAGGACTGAAAAGATTCTCCAGATCCTGCTGCGCCATATTCTTCGGCAAGCCGCTGACGTACAAATTCGCGCCTTTGATCGCCTCGCTGCTCGGTCTCGCGTACGATACCTAAAAAAGAAACAAATGCATCCCGAAATATAATCTCTTTATAGCTCCGATAAATATTAATAGCGTATTAATCGACTGATAAGAGATAAATGTCACTAAAATAATTTGAATCTTACTTAGAGTAAGAACAAAAAAATGTGCCTGCGCGATAATCATCTCTTTATTCTTGTTCGCGCGCGATAAAACCGAATCCAGGCCAACCTATTTATATTGCTGCATTGCCGCCTTACACTCTCGCGTAGATGCATTTAGCATTCTAGAAATCGGACAGATCGCTTTACAAACCAGTCGACTATAAAAAAAATAGACTATTGATTTCGAATATACCGATAAAATTAATAGCGAACTTGAAATTCCATTAAGAGATCTCTATATTTATATCTTTCTTTTGTGTATTGCAAATTAAGAAATAATTATGATTTTAATCTTTGAAGAATTATGATGAGAAACTTCTTGTGCATTATTACGAGGATTACACGAGGGATAAATAAAAGACGTAGGATTGCATTAAACATTAAAGACTCCACTCACCTTGATGGTTTTGTTCTGTAAACGAAGACCATTGAGCGTGTTTATAGCCTTTTCGGCATCTTCAGGCCGGTGATAGTTGACGAAACCGTAACCCAAACTCTGACCTGCAAACAGAGACATGTGGCTCGATAAATTTCGTATACATTTCGCGACAAAGAAACGACGGAAACATTTCATCGCCGACAATATGTCTCGATAGCTTTTAATGCGGTTAAACGTTTCTCTCGACGTTGCCAACGGATTTCAAAGTATCGCTCGTTCGTATCCGCGCGTCTATCTATTAGCTGAAATAGAATCGTATTGAAGAAATAGTTGAACGCGTAATACCGACTGTAATTTCCTCGATACGTGCCGGAATTAATTTTATGAATGGCGTGGTGGCAAATATATCACCGAGTAGTTGGCGAAATGCCTGACGCACACTGCGAGGATACACAAGTGAATTATTTTTTGGCTTTATTTTGTAAGGGGAGAATAATATCAATTTTTCTCATCCTTCTCCAATGCCTTAATGCTACAATGCTCCGAAAAGTTAATTTTAGTTAACTTTAAAAATTCAATTTATCACATTGCTTGCATTCTATTCGATTAAAATAGCAAATCTGAGAAAAATCTCTCTTCTATATTTAAATGTAAATTTTGCTCATTACAATGATATTGTTCTCAAATGCGTTCTCGACGAGAATAAATAACGAAAAGTATAAAGATATAATTACGGTTTTCTCAGCGAAATGAGGAAAGAATTGTCTCGAATGTGATTGAACGACGCGTTTAGCGCGAGGCAACAAACGACGTAGCACGGTACTGCGATTCCGTGATGGCGAGGTCGAGCATAAAGCGGCAAAACTTCAAACCAAACGCCGCCCCCGCTCTCTTCGCGGCGGCTCGAAATAACGTCGCAACGTCTATACACGTGCTCGTCGTTGCCACTGCACGGAATATACCCGGCATGCACGTACGGATCCGAATTATGCTAAGATATGCATACCCGATATGACGGATCAATACGAATAGGCTGCGCAAAATACCGTAATCAAAAATTTATGGGATAGCATTTAATAAGTAAAATGATTTAATTTAAATGCATAGTACTCGAGGACAGAAAGATATCTTATAGAGGAAGAGAATCATTCCTCGAAGTTATAAACTAAAAATATTAGTCGTCGAGTTTTCTAATAAAATTGTTTTTTTACGCGACAATATTTTGCGATATCCTTTTACCACTGACTTTAAGTCGGCTTAATCAAACTCGATTATACGAATAAAATGTAACAAATAGTTTTTTAGTTTAAAAAAGCACAATAAAAGAACCGCCGATTTTGAGAATGATGCAAATTCAGTTTCCAAAATTATGCTAATATCGATACATCGCCGTACATTTGATCAGAACTCGCAACATTTCAAAATTAAATTTACATCATCCTTAAAATAGACGGTATGTTTAATGTGTTTGCCGACTCGAGTCTAAACACTTAACGCGAAAAGACGGGATATAATAAGAGAATGCTGATCTCTTACCGCTAAGCTTATCACGGATTAGCTTGCAGCTCTCGACTTCGCCTATACTGGAGAATAGAGAACGAATCTCATCCTGAGTCATGCTCTGCGGCAAATAATTTACTATGAGATTCGTCTTCGACTCCTCCTGCGAGGTCTGTCCGAGGGTAGATCCTCCGTTTTGTTGTACGACTGTGTCCATTCCGTTCGCCATCATTGCAATCCTCTAACGAATCGTCTCTAACTATGTACGAAATCTGCAAGTAAAACACATACATTAACATTGGACTCGCAATCTAGATAAATAATCGTCATCGTAATTATATAATAATAATATTAACAGCTCACATATCATACATACACACACACACACACACACATATTTGTATGTTGAAATGTATATTTCCATCAATAAATATGAAATATATTGTGAATTTCTTGGATAATTATAATATCGTTGGGTCTGCATATTTTATACTAAGGCATTAAAAAAAGTTCTAGGAAATTTCACTTTCAAAACATCGAAACGGCGAGTTTATCGCTAAACGAATGTGGAAGAAACTATATAGCACCGATGTGTAAACACGAAATATCGAAGGACGTAAAAACACATAACATGAAAACAATGATGCACAAGACGTTCTTTGACATTTGAAAGCTCAAGTGGCCTCGAGTTTTTGTATAATCTATTCGCGTGAACTCGACACAAGAACCAGTGCCTTTATTGTATAAAGTACAGCCTGCGGTTGATAGCAGTCGAGAGTAAAAACTGACGCAATTCTCTTAACTTTGACATTACAATTATAATAAAACAACAAACTATCAAACAAGTTTTTCTCATATATGTATTGTGTAATAATTAACATACATGAAAATAAATTATACTGTAATCAATAAACGTCAATCTCGTCGATGATTGATTTAAATATTTTTATATAGATTTTTCTAAAAAAGCGAGCCTGTATTTATTTTTTTTATTTTTATAATTAATAAATTGATTGATAGAATGCTTTTAATATTATTCAATAAAGAACGCATGAAAATTGTATGAATAAAAGTTTTACTTTATTAATAACTGGAAAAATCCGCCGTTTTAAAGCCGCAAATATTGTGAAGAAAAAATTTAAAAAATTTATAATACTCGAGATTCGATAGTGTAAATCTGAGTGATGACTTTTCAAACACACGAGTATAAAAGGAACAAGAGCGACGGTTGGGAGAACTTTTGGGGTAACGTCCGATACGAACTCGGGTAATTTAAAGGGGCCGACGACCCCCGTTGTCATTTAAAGGGCCGGAGACCCTTGTCCAAACTACGAAGCACACAGAGTGCTATAGAAACCTACGTACATGGTGTCCAGAGCAGATTGTTATAAAAGAATATCTTTCCTGAATATCTTTTGTAACAAAAGTTTGATTAGAAACTTAACTAATAATCTAATTAATGCGGTAACGAATGGCAGAATCATTAATTTTTTTTTAACTACAACCCTTCGTTCACCGGCACGTAAAATAAAAGCAGGAAATATTTCCTGCACCACCCGCTGCATTTCTGAGTGAATTATGAATTCGAGTGGCAGTCGGCCATCCAGAACCTTATTACCATCTAGAAACAATTAATTCCGAATTATATCTATAATTAAAATCGCGTCGCTAGAATGCGACTTCGCAACGAAATTATATTAACATAAAAATGTCGAGACAAATATCTTTAACAAGACTCGAGCACGTTATTACGTATCTGGAAAAATCTAATTCTTAATTTTAATTAATTTGCCAACTAGATACACAGGCTTGATAAAATTCGCGAACACGAAAATTACGCGAAAAATAACAACAAATAATTTCAGGTCAAGTTTTCAATAAAAAAAAATTATTGATTTAAATCCAAGATCGGACGATCTGGACAGCTCTTTCAAGCGGTACACCCGGTACACGCGCACACAACAGAGGGCAAAGGGAAAAATTAGAGCGAAAAAGAGAGAGATAGACAGAAGCAGAGCGAGGAAGGGGAATTACTGTGGTGACTACTGTAGGGTAACGCTATGGTGTTCATGGTTAAGGCGAGTATACATGCACACACAGAGCTACGGCGACACATTTATCAGTCGGCACGAGCCACCGACGTATATTTTAATTCACCCGCTCCTTCTTTTTTTACGTTCCCTTCTCTACACGCGTCTCTCTATTCTCCTCTCCCCTTTTCCTTCCTGCGTAACGATCAGCTGTCCTTAAAGCCTCCCTCTCTTTGCGATTAGCTCTCTGTGACTCGTGGTAGTAGCCACCCCAAAACGACTTGTCCGCAATGTCGTGAGGTAACAGATAGCTTTTATTATGCGCGTGCGGAGAGTGACCGGCCCTCGAATTTCCAAAACGAACTGAATATGCGTTATCATACATGGAAATACGATTGTGTGCATGGGACAGTGATATGTCATGCTTCCCTCGTGTGACGCATTGAACGCAGTGACGGTCAGCGGTTTGATGTCTTATTAATTTGCATGCAAGTCTCAACTAAAAAGATTATATGTATCTCAATATAGAATAATTAAACGAATATATATCAAAAATTTGTATATATGTATTTTAATAAATATATGCAGTTAATAATCAATAAACAATTCAATATTGATTAAAACATCTTTTCACTTAGATTTTTCAAAAAAAGTAAGCTTATATATATTTCTTTTTTATTTTATAATAAATTTTTATTGAAAGAATGCTTCTCAATTTTATTTGGATAAGAAAAAGTACGGAAATTTTCTATAAAAACAAGAGATTTACATTATTAAAAAAAATTGATTTACAGTCGCAAATATTGTGGTAAAAGAATGTAACTGAAAAAAGAAGTGAGCCTATATATATTTCTTTTTTATTTTTATAATAAATTTTTATTGAGGAAATGCTTCTGAATTTTATTTGGATAAAAAAATGTACAGAAATTGTATAAATACAAGAGATTTACATTATTAAAAAAAAAAAAAATTGATTTACAATCGCAAATATTGTGAAAGAATCTAACTGAAAAAATTGATATAATATTCGAGATTCGATCATTGTAAATTCAGACGCGACGACTTTGCAAACACAATATGGCAAAAGAAATAATACAATTCAGTTTTCAAGCATGAACCATTGATAAATAATCTCAAATTATTTCAACGTTCGTTGTACGAAGATACGAGAAAGATTGATAAATTGTTAGACTTTACTTCGTATCTTCCGATAAATTTGAATGATATAAAATTGATAAAATTACAGATGAGAGAAGGTTGAAGGTTGCTTATTTTTTGTACGTTACAGGAATGACTTTACGAAGGAATTAGTATCTCGTATTCGCCGAATAGAAACAGCGCGCCGATTATTCCCTCTCTCTCTCTCTCTCGCTCACGTCCCCTTTGTTTACGAACGCAGGCGATAAAAGCGCCGCTCGCAAAGGCAGAAAAGTCGCGGTGCGCTTATCGTAAGCCGGCATCTTCCTCGGTATCGATCCGCGCTCGGCACGTTCGCCATCGCGATATATTTTCGGATCCGACAATACCGAAGGCATAAGAGAGCCGCCGAGTTGGCCGACTATATTGTCGCGGGTCGGGAAAGTACCGCGCGACACCGATGCAACTTTTAGACATATCTCCGCTATCATTATCGGATGACAATGGACGCGGCTACACACGCGTGCACGCGCCGAAAGGGGAGAAGGGGAAAGGTGGGCAGTCGTAAAACTTCGAATACGACGCCGGAGATATACGCACCCTATGAAATGACTTTCCAACAAGAGAGATCAAGAATTCTAAACGGAAAATATATTTTCATGAACTAAAGTAGTTTGAATAATAAAACAATTTTATAGAACTTTTTTAATCAAATCTTCGTTATGATAATTTATTGATATATAATTCAAAGTAGTTTAAAAGTTCAGCAGTTTGAAACTGTTGCGTGTGTTATATTTATATGCTTCGATATCTCTAAATTTCTTTCACACACAGTTTAGTTAGCAAAATTTAAAATTATACACACACGTGTGCGTGTGTGTGATTGATTAGACATATATTGATATATTGTCAGATATTTCACAAGTATAAGACATCACATTTAAAAATCACGTAATTATAAATAAAATTTTTGCGGGTCGTAAATTGAAGTACGAAGGGAAACTGGATGGTGAGTTATTTCGAAACAGCCCGGGACTATCGATCTGGCGAAATCGATACAACGGAAATACCGTTTTATTCTGGTAAATGCTACCTTGTTATTTCAATTTAGCAATGTCCCTATCGCATGGCAAGAGATAGCAACATCCAATTATTCATAAGAATTTTATAACCGCCCTCGATTTCGATTTTACATCCAAAAATAACTTCTCGTTCAAATATCATTATTAATTCGAATTATTCGACAATTATAATAATTCAAATACAACAATGATATAATTATCAATTATACGCGATCCGATTAGGATCCGTTTTCAAGGAAACCAAGCATAATGCGGCGAACCACCGAATATTCGATTTGCGAGGAAAAGGTGCCTTTCGCGAGGGCTCCTCTCTTCAAGGGTCGAAGGAAAAAAAAAAAAAAACTTTACCGAGAATGTCATAATCGTGACGGCCCGACAAGGACGGACATTGCGCCTAAGCCTAGTCGACGGGCGACCTCGCGGGTTAAAGTTCGATTAGCACGTACGTCGCGAGATACGATCTTCGGCCGGTGACCAGGTGGCCATGGCGACGGATCGTGAAAATCGCGTGGCCGGGGCCGATCAATACGAGCGCGGCTCCTCGTCGGTCCCTGTGCCTCGCGCTTGCTTTCTCTCTCTCTCTCTCTCTCTCTCTCTCTCTCGCCTTAAGGTCCCCGTTGCTCTATGAGAACCCCCTTCCTGCCGTCGCATCGTCGCCCCTGCGCGTTTCAGAGGGTGACCCCTCCCGCGCGCGAAAAAGCGGCTCGGCTCGTGTATACGCAAGTACGTAAGCGCGCGCGTAAACGCAGACGGCGAGTTTGAGAGTCGCGTCGAAGGGAGACGCGAGAGGGGTATATCAGCGCGGAGAGTACCATGTACGAACGAACGCACGCACGTACGTAGGTAGATAGGTATAAATGAGGGGTTGAGAAGAAAACTAGACGATGACACGTGCTTTCGCGACGCCGATCTCGAGAATGCGAGCGACGATGGAGGCGACAAGTGTATTTATCTCTTCCTGCGTCTTTTGACGAATCGACTAAACCTCTCTCTCTCTCTCTCTCTCTCTCTCTTTGCAATAAT